TGCAGGCGATGGATTTGGTATTGGATATTACACAGAACCTAAACTTGGACCTGAGCCATGTATATTCACATCTACTATTCCTGCGTGGAACTGCATCAACCTTCAACGAATTGCTTCAAAGACCGCTTCACCACTCATATTTGCTCACGTACGAGCTACGACCGAAGGATCCCTCAGCGATGATAATTGCCACCCTTTCTCCCACGGGAGTCTGATGTGGATGCATAATGGTGGATTGGGTGGTTGGAAACACATCAAAAGACGCCTGGGTGAAAGACTGGCCGACAAATGGTATCTTGGAGTTCACGGAGGAACCGACAGTGAATGGGCATTCGCATTATACCTGGACACACTCGAGAGAATGGGTCATAACCCAAGTGCTCCACCAGCCGAGGGATTTGGTCCAACTGTTTTAAGGCATGCAATGCTAGCTACCATCAAACAGATCAACGATTTCATTGCCGCAATCCCAGAAAAGACAATCGAGGAAGAAAATTTGGATATTCGAAGCTTGTTGAATTTTGCAATAACAGACGGACATAGTATTGTCTGTACTCGTTATGTCAGTAGCAAAACCGATGAGGCAGCTAGTCTGTACTACTCTTCCGGCACTACATGGGAGGACAAAAGTAACAAGGGCGAATATCAAATGGATCGTCGTGATAAAGGTGCTGATATCGTCCTCGTTGCAAGTGAGCCGTTGACATTCGAAAGAGGTAACTATTATCCCTTATTTCCTACTTCTGTATCCCGTACCCCATTCATCTTGCCAAGGGCAAAGATGAAAAGCGGCAGTTATTGCCACAACCGAGTTTTATTGGCTGAAGACTTTTGTCCCGTGAAGATCACCCAAACGAGAAATTAGAATTGGAAAATCGTCTTTATGTTGCACATCAGCAGATAGACGAAGATCAGGCGAGGATTGAAGCTCGACTAGTTCTTGTGGTGGCTAGAGATTTATTTTTCAAATTTCTTCAGGGGCTCACGTCAAAATCCTGCATTTTCATTTACTCGCTTGTCTGATGGCACTATTACTGCAGCAATGTGGAGTAGACATTTCTGATACATTTACAGAAAGCTGGGTGACAGTTCCAACCAACTCCACTTTGACAATTCACAAGCAAACTGTTATGGTACATCCAATTATCGACGAGTATTATAACCACAACCCATATCATTCGCGATCCTCTCAATTCGTTACTGATAAGGGTCTCGTCACCAATGAAAAATCAACGCCAGCTCCTACACCAGCTCCCACTGGGTCTACACTATTACATCAGTCACTTGCCAGAACAATCAACCCATCATCAGCCATGTTATCACCAAGAGAAAATTATGATCCCAATACGGTGAATAACGCATCTCACACCTCAGCAATCTCAGATATTAGACATGCCACACCCGCAGCATCTCGTCCCTCGATTTCTTCCAACAAGTCTGGAGAACAAGGCAACACCAAAAAGAAGCGAGCTGCGGCTCCTGCTCCTGCAATCGTACAAATACCAGCCAACACAATGAATGCTGGTGCATCAAATGGAACATCAGGAGTCGATTACATAGATATGCCTGATACGCCAGAACTGACCAAAAATTCTGATAGCAGAAATAAAATAGCGCAGTATTTCCCAGAGCTGGATAGTATTGATCGGAATTGAGCCACAGACTAGTTAAATCAATAGTCTCAATTGGGTTGCATTTTAGGATAGGCAGAGCGAGGTAGTGGTATTTGGGCTGGCGTCAAAATTAGAATGGGGAGTGCATCGGTTGCATATAGAGAAGGGCGTTTAGTGCGTGATGTAGGATATCCCTTTGGTAATTGCAATTTTACGTTGGTTTTGCAGATCGTTTTTGTTTTTTTAAGTTGAGTCATCTTTGTCGTACGTATCTTTTTCAAAATGTATATTTGTGAATACCCTCAAACTTTCGAACTCTTGAATGTGTTCAGTGAATATCCAGCATTGAGGATCCCGATGATAAAGGCTTCAAATATGTTAGGAAAAATTCTCCTACTTCAAAGATCCATTTATTCAATAACCAAGTCACTCCATCCTTAGAACTTCACAAGTACTCCTAAACAGATAATCACAACTAAAGTCACAACACAAAAACGATTCCTCACATTCCTCAAAACAAAGACCCGCTTGTATAATTCCTACAATTCTAACAGCTAAAACCTATGCCATAAAAGTAATCACCCCACGCTGATCAATACACTCAATATCCAGCTCCAAAGACCCCGACCCAGAAGCTCAGTAATAATTAGACCAACCACTATCATCATCGCTATCCTCGCCATAATAATCATCCGAGTCCAACGATTGCTGCGGTGTCAAATCTCGCTCGTTCACACTCCAATCAATCATTTCTACCGATAATCCCTTGTGTAAATTGAAATCTCCACATTCGTATTCTCCCAATCCGTCGTAATCGAAGAGCGCCTTTCGTGCCGTCAAGATTTCGAGATATTGTTGATCGCACATATCGACCGCCGTGCTGAACTTTGTGACGAAGTGGCGGATTTTGCCGACTTGGTGGTCTGTCATTAAGTGCTTGATCAGACGATCACGTGGTAGGTTTTTGTAGTGGCTGTTGTAGAGATGATGTTGGGATTGAATTTGGGCTTCTATCGCAGAGGTTAAATGTCTTTTGAAAGCTTTGACGTAGCGCTTGAGGTATACTAAAGCGAGGCAGATCTTTTGTTCCCTGTTTGGATCTCGCATTTCCCATGTATTGTTTGAGAATCCTAATTGTTCATTCCTTCTCTCGACAGCATCGAATATACCGCCGGGAACTTTCTCTGTCTTTATAAATGTCGTTAGTTCATGATTTGCATTCATGATTTGATTCCATTGTCGCTCGAGGTGCGTAAGGGCGTGCTTGCGATGTTCTTTGAATGTCCATTCGTCTTCGCCTGAGTTCATGACAGCGTCTTGACAGTTGCGAAGTTCGAATTCAAGTGGATGAAGGGTTGGCTCGATAAAAGGATTGAAAGAACCTGTATCGAGGAACTCAGCGTACTCAAGGCACCTAGGATCAATCCGTGTGATATCCTCTCGTCTTAAGCCCATTTGCATTTTGTAAGGTTGATACCGCTCAAAAGTTCGCGCGTAAGCCACGAGGTTCTTATGCATCATGTGTTGGATATCAAGGGGTTGTTGACCGGTTGTAAGTGTTTCTATCTCCGTCTTCAAGTCTGTAGGAAGTTCCCAGTCTGCTAGAGCTTCATCTCCCTCTGTAAATTTCTTCACCAACCCATCATCAGCGAGTTGAATGACATCGGGAACATCGGTCGCGCAAGCTTCTTTGATTGCACATGTCTGGATATTGCGGAGGATTTTCAAAGGCTTCAAGATCTGTTCGTAGCTGTCGAAAGAATAATGGTTGTCCCGACCATAGTCCAAGCCGCAAGGCAGAATCAAGAGTTCCAACGATATCGGAGGATCTTGAGAGATGACTTCGCAAAAGTCACGTAAACTCCAAATTGGGTCCCAACTGCCACCAGAAGATGTGAGTCTACTAACTACCACCCGCCACTTGCGAACTCTCGACACAGTAGAGCAATTACCAAGATTTGGAATTGGAAATGGCATTTTGCTTTGGTTGTTCTGGTATCTCATAAGAGGGCATAGTTCCACCAGAGGTCCTTCAACATACTGTACGGCCGTTGGATTTTCATCATCACTTTCTGCACCCATATCCATAGAAAGGTGATTATCAACCCGAAAGCATGCGATGTAGAAGGTATTTTCTTTGTAAAGAATATCCAAGGCCTCGACGTAAATTTGATGGCAGACCCTCAATAACTGTGGGGTTAAGTCGTATCTTGTATCAGCTCCATAGCTCGCACTTCTGGATACAGAATCTGCAGTGCCCAGAATCTTTTTGACTAGTAGTTCTTTGTAGATCTGAGTCCTGATTTCTAGAGGGACCTTATCTAAGAAGAGACAAACGCTGTTGGAGGCCATATTTAGGATTTTGAATGGTGGGTATTATTGAAAGAATGGATCGAAGTATGATTGGAAAATGATTGTCGAATAAAGTTGTAGTAGTAATATGAGAGAAGTTGCGAGAAGAAGAGAATTAATGTTTGTCGTTCTGTAGCTTGCCACCATTTCGGGAAGCAGCTCTGTTGGTGGAAAATAATGGTAAGAGGTTATTTGGAAAGGAAGAAATATATTCTCACCTTCGTCTTATAATATTCTCTCTACAGTCTCTATATATCATTGTATTCCAATTTGATATCGATGGTAAAGTGAATCAAAACCATATTTCGAATGTTTGTTGGTGAGGATAGATGGAGGTTATCGAGTGTCTCTGCAAAAAGCTCGTTTGAAATCTTCAACCAATCCCAAGAGATTCAATTCACCCGAGATTAAACTCATTCAGACACTAAAATTGTGTAGAATCTCCAAAAGAATTTACAACTTCTGTTTATCTTCATCAGGGAGACTTCAATCAACCGAAAAAGTGAACTCCCTGGTAAGATTGGAATAGTCTGAAATCTTCAACTTCCCTTCTGCACATGTCCGTGAATCTAGAAGTTTTGCTTAATCTTACAGATTCAGCTCGCTTGGAAGATTAGATTCATTTCAAAGAAGGATTCACCAAGGACTATGTGTCTCTTTAAAAGACTGGAAAAATTATGTACCGGGAAATTGGTTGATGTTGAATGCTGATAAAAGGGACTGCATTCATCAAGTTGGAGCACAACTGACATCCCATAGATCATGTAGTTGGCCTGGTAAAGGTGTATTTGCCGGGGCTGTTCTCACGCTTTGCTTGCGTTGGATTTTTGGTTGAAAGATCCAATGTTACCTTACTTTACTTGCATCGTGCAAGTTGCATGGTAACTTGTCATCTGAAATATACGCAATATGCAAGCTCCAGTGTGCAAGTTTTCATGAAATTGGCTTAACATCACAGCTGTATAGCCATCCATTTCATATTCAAATATTGAAGTGAGGATGAAGCAGAGGTAAGTACAACTTAGATAGAGCATCTCAACTTCCATCCCAAGGCTCGCCGATGACATTACTCTTCTGGCTTTGAAACGGTGCAACATCAACTTTCTTTGGCGTCATCATGACTCCCTGCAACCATTCAACATATGCAGGAAAACCAGTTACGCTCCCATAAATCCTTACTCTCTTCACTCCTCGCACACCCTCAAAGAGTCTCAGAACCTTATAATCTGAACCCCTAAACGTAGATTGTTCAACCCTTATTGTCAATTCATCCACCTCGCTAAAAGCTTCTTCTGCTTTCTTTGCAGAGAAATTCGGATCGCAATCCAGTCGAACAATTATATAGTATTTTTTGATATTAGATATCAATCTGGAGGAGCTGATAGTATCATATTTCCAACGCAAGCGCGGTAGTCCCGTAAGAAGATTGGGATGTGCTATGAAGACATTGCTACCGTAGAGGATTTGTTCGGCTTCATCATGGACTCTTCGACAGACGGATAGAATTTGTGGATATATATGTGGATCACTTCCTAGACGACGGGGTATTGATATGGATGGGATGATGAGGAGTAATTGGTAGATGTGATTACGAATTTCTCCTGGGAGGTCAAGGAATGTGAGGGGCGTCATGGTTTGCGAAGCACTTCTTCTATTGTTGAGATCGCAACCTCGATGTACTGATGTGAGTTTATATGGGGATGTATGAAAAGGTAGAGATGTTCGTTGGAATGTTTTCGTTGAAGTCTCTTCGAATAATCAACGATGTTTACGAGGTCAAGTGTTTTGTGAAGTGATACACGGATAAAGGGATCTCATCAATCTGATAAGATATCAAATTTGAGCACTGACTTTTGCGATAAGATCAAGATAAAATCTCGCGCTACAATCCCGGCTCCCGCCGGGATCAAACTGAATCATTCAATGTTACTCTAAATTTAGTACGTGCTCACACGTGATAGTTTACTTGGATGAGACCTTGATCATGTTGTCTCTTCATTTACAGATTGCTTTGACATCGATACTCTCATTTATAAATTGTCGCCATCCATGACATATTCTTCATAATGACCACTGCATTCCTTCAGTTTCTTTCCTATTTGTTCGGTTGGATATACACAACATGTTGGTCGCTATCTTTTTATCCCCAACCAATCTTGAACTTTAGGCGCAAATCTACTTCAGGAGCCGCAATCGATTTCCCGTTCCTCAACGTGCTAGGCTTTGCTGCATACTTTGTATCTACAGTCTCATTCCTTTATACGCCAGAAATCAGACGTGAATATGCTTTGCGAAATAATGGGCATACCCCGACTGTTCAATTCAATGATCTCGCTTTCGCTGTTCACGCCCTCTTCATGTGCTTTGTCATGATATCACAATATGAACCATCGATTTGGGGATTCGATAAACGAGGTAAAAGGGGCCCCGGCGCAAGAGTTAGCAAATCTGTCATGGGTTTGTCGGTAGCATGTATTGTTGGAGTAGCGACTTCGGTGGTTATTGTCATTGCGCGACAGGATGAAGATGTTGTAAGAGGGTGGGCATGGATCGATGTGGTAAGTTGAGGTTAAGCTGCGTCATTTGGTTACACTTGTGCTAACATCACTTTTCACAGGTTTATGTCATATCATATGTCAAACTAGTTATCACGACTGTTAAATATATGCCTCAAGTTCTTACGAATTATCGCAACCGATCCACCACTGGTTGGTCAATAGGGGGGATACTACTGGATTTCGCAGGTGGAGTCCTATCGATTTTACAATTGGGGATTGATAGTTACCTACAGGGAGATTGGTCGGGAGTAACGGGCAATCCAGTTAAACTCATGTTGGGCAATGTGAGCATCTTCTTCGATGTCATTTTCATTGTTCAGCATTATATTCTGTACAAAGGCAATGGAGGTGATAAACCATTGGATGAAGAAGATCCTTTACTCGCGCCGGATCGGGAGCAGAGAATTGAATAGAGACGAAGAGACAGGGAGCAGAGAATTGATTAGAGAGAGATGAAGAGATAGCGAGCATTTCTCCATGGCGTTATAGATACCCAGCGGTTGGATTATGAATAGAGGCGGACAATTAGTTATTGGATTTCAATGTAAGATATTAGCGCTTATCTAGGTAATTACAAATATATTACCTTGAGGAGTTGCAAGGTCAACAATTCTTATGCTCGCCCAAGTGGCTGGCATAACTTCATCATGATATGCAACCTAAATCAATTATCACATCGATTTGCTGTCGTGCACTGCTCAATGCTTAAAATAAGAGTTTCTAACAATGGTCATCTATTGAAAATGGAGTGGCCTTTGTTAGAAACGGAAATAGATATGGCACGGGTATCTAGTACGGGACAGGACTATTAGTGGATGTATGGACTGACGGGACACAGCAAAAATGGACTTGTGAATATCTTTTGATGTTTCAAATCATCTGTCTTAAAAATTGTTACAATTGTTGATTAGAAATGAAACAATCGAAATGTGAATTCTAATATCAAACAATTGAAGAATGAATTTGCTTAAATTATTGAAAGTTGGAAAGTGTCCTGTCAATCTATACACCCACTGGTGGACAGGAGAGAAAAGTGCCATGCCGCCTGCAAACCCCAAAAAGTACAATGTAAGGAGAACTTTCACTAAGTGTAAACTTCCAATATATTCGTAAGATGCAGCTTTCACTCAACAACAAACACAACACCAAGCGGCTTTAGCTCACTTGGGAGAGCGCCAGACTGAAGTTCACTTCGGTTCATTAATCTGGAGGCACTGTGTTCGATCCACAGAAGCCGCATTCTGCGAGTTGAGGACCACCCTGACTGACCCATCATTTTTATTTTTACTTGAATTTTTTCTTCTTTTTTCCCCCTCCGAATTTACTGCAACCATACGCTACGAATACGTTGCGGAGCATGCCTACCTACAATGAAAGAATTTCATGAATCAAACCTTATATTTTTAGTTGAGCCTCGATCAGTTATTTAGTTCGTTCATGTTAATCCACTAAGTTTTCACTAGAAGATTTCACTAGACGACGCGAAGAGGGACTCAAAAGGGTAGATGGACACTCGACAGACATTTTTGAGAGCTGGAGGATAAGCGAAGAAGAGGAATTGAAACTTTGAAACTTTGAAAGTTAAATATTTTTGGGTGGGACAATTGGCTCATATCAACGAAACTAACGAATGAGAAGAAGTCGGTACTCCGTAAATAATGATTCGGATGGCATTCTAACAATCCGGTATAGGAGCGAATCGAGCCCATCGAGCCCATCGAGCCCACCGAGTCGTCCATCAAGTCGACCATCTACGGAGTACATCGTACCTAGGTATATCCAGTCCATTCACCACCAGTTTCCACTGTCCACCGAATACGCAAAGTGGCGGGGTTAGAACTTTTCATCGAGTACACTCGTAGGTATTAGGTAAGCAACGCAACGCAACGCAAATGGTGGTTCGACGGTCAACAGTTGACCCAATCTTTCTTTATATGCCGAAGATCTACCACAATATGAAATCATTTCCGACGGTTAGACTGTTGGACTAAGCAAAAACCTTCGCGAACTACCTAAGCCTAGCCAAGTAAAACCCCTGAATGCTTACCATCATCTTTTTCTCCCGTGCTTTCGTCCTAAGGTGAAAATATTACTTGAGAATTTCATTTTTTTGTGGCAACTACTCAAAGGACAGGATGGTCCCCGATGTCTAGTCTAAACGTAGGGATTTCTCTCACATTTCGACAACTATCTCGGTGATGGCGTGCTTCCATCAGGGATAGAGAATTTTTATTCAACAGGGAATAAAAGTGTCAAGTTATCCAGACGCGTTGATGTCTCCCTCACTTTTTTCTCATTTCCATTACCATTATTCTACAACATCTATCCATCCTTCTCATCCATTTTGAGAAGCGTCTATGTCGTATTGGTGAATAGAGAATTGAATTCTTAGCTGCATTCAAAGTATCCACCATGTCGAACAAGACTTACACCTCACAAGAATTGGGTATCCACGGGACGCCGTCTCAAACTTCATTGGATAATCCGGGAAAACCAGATATCGCAAATGGAGAGGTAGTTCATTCGGCTTCAGGTCATCTGGATGCCGTTTATGGTGTCGGTGGGGTGGGACATACACAGAGAAGATTGAAGGCTAGACATGTTACCTTTATCGGTTTTGGTGGTGGTATTGGTACGGGTCTTTTCATCGGTACTGGTGCAGCTTTAGCAAATGCTGGTCCTTTGGGTTTGCTATTGTAAGTCAACGCCTAGTCGGTTCAAATGTTACGATGCTCGAATTGGTATTAACACAAATTTTAGGGCTTACAGTGTTGTCGGTCTTCTTCTTTGGTGTGTAATGGAGTCAATTGGTGAACTGGCCACTCTGGTACGTTTTCACAGGTCAATCACCTGACATTCACCAAACAAAAGCTCACAAGTCATAGTTCCCAACTGCTGGATCTTTTCCCCATTTTGCAACTCGATTCGTCGACCCTGCTCTTGGATTTACTCTCGCCATTTCCTACGGTTATTGCTACACCATTGCTATTGCTTCGGAAGTTTCAGCAGCCGCCATCGTAGTATCTTACTGGACAGACATCACACCCGCTCTCGTGATTTCTATAGGACTCGTCGCGATCTTCCTCATCAATATCGCCAACGTCAAGTTCTACGGTGAAGCAGAGGTCGTCACTGCTTCCATCAAAATTCTTTGTTTCTTAGGATTGATTATCGTCTCTATAGTTATCACAGCCGGAGGCGCACCCAATCACGAGTCTGTCGGATTTAGATATTGGAAAGATCCAGGTCCATTCGTTCCCTACGATGGAATCACCGGGAACAAAGGTAACTTCCTCGCATTCTTTAGTGCATTCATCAACGCCAGTTTCTCCTACATCGGTGTTGAAACCGTCGTTGTCGCCGCCGCGGAAACCGAAAACCCACATAAATCGATTCCCAAGGCCGTCAAGCGTGTTACCTATCGAATCCTGTTTTTCTATGTCCTCGGTACGCTTCTCATTGGAATGATCATTCCCTCCAACGATCCAGCCCTCGTAAGTGGTACCGGTAACGCCAATTCCTCGCCTTTCGTCATCGCGATCAAGAACGCCGGAATCTCCGTACTCCCATCTATTGTCAACGCATGTATCCTTACCTCCGCCTGGTCTGCCGGAAACAGTTACTGCTACATTGGTGCGCGAATGATTGTCGCCATGGCAGTTGATCGTCAAGCGCCTCAATGTTTCGCCAAGGTCAACAGATGGGGTGTACCATACTGGGCTGTCATCGTATCCTTCGCATTCGGTCCGCTAGCATATCTAAGTCTCGGTTCCGGAGGCGCAGCACAGGCATTTACTTGGCTTCTCAACCTCAGTACGGTTGCGGGTCTTCTTGCCTGGATGACTCTCTGCATTTGTTATATCCGTTACCATCACGCATGCATTGCTCAAGGAGTTGATCGTAATAACCTCCCTTTCAAAGGACGTTGCCAACCACTCGCCGCATATGTCGGTGCCATTGGCTCCGGAATCGTTGTTATCTTCTCCGGTTTTGGTGTTTTCATCAAGGGCAACTGGAGCACGGCGGATTTCATTGCTAGTTATATCGGTATCGTCATCTACATAGCACCCTATATTTTCTGGAAAATATTCAAGAGCACTAAGGTGTCGAGATCGAAGGACGTGGATTTGTTCTCCGGAAGATTCGATGCCAGTTCTGCGCCGGTGGAACCGATACCTACGACTGCATGGGGCAAGTTCTTGGATTGGCTGTTGTAAGATTATGAGGAAAGAGAAGAGAAAGGAAGAGTAGGAGGTGGAACTATGATTTTTAATGATGCATTTTCAACAACATGATACCTAGCGTTTTAACAACACTTATACCCAGTCAATTTTACGTTTATATATTTTCTCATAGCCATAGGGCAGCAGATTTTTGGAGTCATGATTCATTTGAGTGTGTGATGTGAAGTGAGGAGGCCGTTTTGAGTTTGAGCTACCTGATTGATACTTCTAGGTTTTATACGATACTGTGCATTGTGTTTCTTCGAGACGAAAAAACGACTCTTCAACATATGCCCATGGTTATTCGCCAACTTTCGAGACGCGCGCATACTTCCGTCGAGTTAATATCTGGATGCGGTTCGATACGGACAAAGCCCAGGTGCCGGATTTGAAGGACAGTTGGCGAAGCATGGCACCTTTAATAGCAGCCACAAATTGATCGACAGCTTCATGCTCAAAATGAACATTTATAATCAACAGAAGGATGAGTGCAGCCTTTTCCCAAAGCCTCGCTACTCTTGCCCATAGTAGCATGTGTTTTCTTGTCCAAAAGCAACTGCGCATACCTCTCTTTCCATTCAGCAACTTCCTTTTTGGCAGACTCAGCTTCTCCCCGAACACGATCAAGGACATTATGAGTACTGTGGAATTCATGCTCGACGTCCTCAAACATCATTTCGAAAGCGTGGTTGTAATCTTCGAAGCGCTTCAAGATCTCATATCGCTGTTTTCCAGTATACGCGCCACCAGCAGCCACAATTGCCCTGTCCATGTCTCGCCTGATGAGACTTGCTTCGTCGCGACGCTCCACCATATCCAGACGAAACGTGTCAAACCTCGGCTTGCACTCGTAACAGTTATAATCGAAGGTTTTCACGTCGTGGGGATCGGCTTCGGGAGTGGAACATGCAGGAGGGGGAGCACTTTTTCGACTCCTTGCTGCCTCCCAGGCTAGATAGCTTTCGCATTTCTGCTTGCCGGAAATAAACTCGTGGCCGCAGAATGCGAGACTGTAGATGGAACGACACATGATCTTGATATGGTCTAGTGCTACTTGATATGCGCTGATGAATTCTTTGAGATGAGATTCGAGGTCCTGTGCATCGCATTAGCTTGAATATTTTTCACTTCATCTCCACGACTGCAAATATAAATATTTACGCCTTGAGATCGAGAAAGAATACATACCGTTGCTCTTTAATGGAATAAACTCGGACTTGAAATCGCCACGCGATAGGTCGTCTGATGGAGCTGGAAATTTCGATATTGGCTACAAGGACTCACTCGGTAATCTAATTCAATCTATGAAACTATCAGTATACAATTATTCCCGAATTTCGCACTCATCTATATTGCGCATAAGAAAATAAACTTACCGTTCTCGAAATCTTAAAAGCTTCTCGTGGTGAGATGAGATGATAGTAAATGAGATGAGAGAAGTGTGATTCAAGCACTTGGGATTGTCGCTATTTTGTTTATTCTCGTATCGAGAAGAAACGAGAGGGATGAGCAGAGAATGTGTAGAAAGAAGATGAGACGAGGTGAGAGATTAAGTTGAGAGTACTAGGTAATCAGTTGGCGAAAATTCGATTTGGCGCTAAGGACTTTATTGGGAATACCTACACTAAGGGAGAGGGGGAAAGAGGAGGGTAAAGGTGAAAGTGAAAGTGAAAGTGAGGATGCAGAGATACATAGGTACGAAGGAAGACATGCTTGGTGAGATTCTAAGTGGGTGCTGTGTTGTGGATCTTCATATATGGAATCGTGGTCTATGACTTCATGTCGATTCGGGCAGCTCTTGAAATAGAGGACATCTATATGTATTAGTTAGTAGTACTAAGGAGTGATCGGAGATGGATAGAGTTATAGTATCTACTGATATTCTTTTTATTTGCGGAAGATGATGAATGAAGATTGGAATTTAGATTGAAGTAGTAGTCAAGATGTTGATGATGATACCCGAGTGAACGGATTCTATAGTCAAGTTCTTGCTCTAAGGGAATGCTTAGTTTGCATGGTGTTTAGATAAGTTTTTATTCATGGGAATTGCAATGTAATCTGTCATTTCACGTGTCACTTGGAATTGAGGTTTATTGGTGTGTTATTTAAATTTCTATTTTGTGTAAATTTATCGTATGTTCTGTTCTGTTCTATATTGTACAAGGCGATTCATTTGTTGTTCCTTTATATCCCATAATTCCCCAATTCCACCAATCTCCTAACAAAGAAAGAAATTCGTCATATCTCGTGGATCATTTCATAATTGTTCAGAAAGGATAAAGGACAATAACAAGAGATAATGAAATGGAAGAGAAGACAAAGAAAGCTATTCAAAACAACTATTCAACCTCTTCAAACAATTCACCACGCCACACATCACCATCCTCACTTCCATCCTCTACCCGTATCCATTCGCCTTCCGCTGGCGATGGAAGACCAAAGATACTGCGACGGCCATACGCGATATTATCGGGCTCCTCCTCGAAGACTTCAACCTCCATAGGAGTGACATCCACGAAAAATGGTTCTGGTTCTGGCGTTGGTTCGCGCCAAACGCGAGGTTCTTCGGCTTGCGCGACGTGTCTGCTAGCTCGGGCATTTCGTTCCTCGTTCAGATGAGTGAGCATCTCCATGGCGTTTGCGGTGTACTGTCTCACAATCTCCCATTCTGCTTCTGTGGGATAGCTATCGCTAGCTAATTGGTCGTCTAGGAAGCGAATGCATTGGTTGAGATACGCAGCGCCGGTATCATTTAGACCTGGGAGTTCGCGGATGAACTCGTTGGAGATTTGAACCAATTGTCCGAGTCCGGCAAGGGATTGCTGGATTCGTTGTCGGGAGGGTGTCATCTCTATTTCGCTGGATTCGTTGTCGGAATCTGATAATGCCAGATTAGAAGGTTCGTCCCCAGCATCAGAATCAATGTAATCGCTTAGATCCAAGGAACTGAGTTCATCATCGTCGTCATCCTGTGGCTGGATTTCGGGTTGCTCGGGCTCGGGTACCTTTGCTAATGGTGCTGGTTCGGGTCGCCCAGCGAGAGCCCGAAACATGCGTGCGGCAATCGTGTTTCGTGAAATGGAGAATAAAGTGGCTTGGGCGGGAGCAACTTCTACCAAATACTTTCGATACTGATTAATGATTGTATACCATCGGTCGAATTTTCCTCTGAGGCTTTCGAAAGAATGTTCGTTCTCGTGTTTCCATTCGCAGAAGGTCTTGCGATCTTCAACTCTGCCCCATACAGGCACTTCACTCGTCAAGTTGCGCGCCTTGGGATCAAAGTCGAAGGTTTCCTCGTCCTTTTCGAATTTGTGCATGACCTGGCCGATGAATCTGTCGATTCTCTCATCATTCGCGTTAGAACGTTCCAAGGCGTCGATATAGGAGATGATTTCCCGACGAACTCTGTCTTCGGCAACATAACGGTCCGGCATGTCTTCGGTCCAAGTTCCGAAGTTGTTTCTTCTCGCTGCTGATGTGAGCGTTTCCATGGCTCGGTTAAAGTTTCGAGTGCTGCCAACTTCGTGGAGGGAAAACCCCTGGTCGGATTCGGTCATGGTTCTGGAGCCAGAATCGATTTCGGCTTGTCTTTGAATACACTCGTCCAACATTGCATCTTCAGTAAGGACTATAGAGACAACTTGAAATTCATCATCGGTCAAATCATGATCGACTTCTGCAAGTGCGTCCATGACGTCTTTAGAACGTGCCGCGAGATGTTGTCTGTGTCCTATAATGTAGTTACTATGAATGTCAGTAAAGCCAATACAGTAAGGATGAAGTCTCTCTTTGTTCAAGAAAAGTTCAGTGTACTTACTAGCAATAGCTTCATCGGTCAATGGAAGCGGTCGCTCCAATCTTTGCCATTCGATGATGGCTTTGGCTTGTTGGTGATGTATAGTGGTTGATGCAGCTTCTTCCGCCGCTCGTTGTCTTTCGGTGCGTCTGCATTCCTTGCAGCATCTGATTCTGCGATGTCGGCCTCGGATGGCGTGGGTAGTGGTTTCGGTAGTGACCTCGGGATATTGCTCACACTTGGAAACGTATTGGATGGTTTCCTTGCTGCATCGCTTGCAGCGACTTCGATTTGCAAAGCACATCTTGATAGATTTATTGATTGATTGTTGATCTGTAGATAAAAAAGTCCGGCTTCTAAGCTAAGTTGTTGATATGAATATTTGTGGGAGTTTTTGTGTGCTCTGTTCTATTGAATCGGGAATGAGTATTTGAGTTCTTAACGAGAAAAGAAAGGGGGTACAATCCAGACTTACTTCCCGAGAGTTATAGAAGGAACAATAACATTGTTCAATTTCTGTTCTCTGGATTTCTTTGTTGAGGTATAAACAAAGAAATCCATTGCTTCTTTGTAAAATCTTTGAGCTTATTTTCACACAATTTCTGAACAATGCCACTGTCTCGCAACCTGCCCAGATATCGAATACAATCCCTATTTTTCGAACGCTCTCCATGCATCAAACGTAATTGATCAATTGCTAAGGATTTTTTCGGACGTTCTCTCTGTTCTTACTAACGAACGACTTTGTGGAATCAACATCGCAATCGAAGCTAACGGTACAAATTTTAGGCACGGCCAGCACTCCCTTATTCTTCCTTGGACATCATTGTTCTGGTCCAAAATTTGACTGATGTATTTGATCTCCAACTAGGTACCATCGTGAAATGATATCGCATCAATCCCAATAACTAGACATAAAACATGAATCCTGCACATGCTGCGAGAAGACGCCAACTCTGTATCATATAACTATTGAAAACTCTGCCACTTGACGAGAGAACATTTTTATGATTTCCCCGAAAGTGAATTTGGTCTTTTGGTGAAACTCAATCTTCAAGGTCTCATCCAAAGTAATTTGAAACAAGAAAACGTCAAGAAGATACATTAAGAGATCGTTCTAGAACCATCATTCGTAACACTCGTTCGGACATGACTGCTCAGCCAAAAGTGACGTCTATTCTTCAAGTGAGTCCCAATTTCAAGTGAAGTCCCACGTGAAGTCCCAAGTGGTAAAGCGATATAAACAAATGCCAGCAATAACAATAAGCATCATCCGAAATTCTGATCCGAACACTCTCACAATTCCTAATTCACTTCATCTTATCTGCTACTTTCTTAGCTTCTAAAAAGTTGGATCTGGTTCACTCTTATCAAAAAGCCGTACTTAAAAGCTTTTCTATTTAAAATACCATCTTTTGAAAGTCGAGTCTATACATCTAAATTTATGTCGAGAAACGACAATCGGTAATTCAATATTGATTTCCTGCGGCTTTTGATCGACGCTCCTCTCTGACCTTCGACTTCGAGAAGGACAGATATTCCAACACTCGTCTGCGAACAAATCACAATTTATCGAGCATTCAGATTCAACCATCTCGAACACTCTCTACCCTACGAAGTCGAGTCCAAAAAAAGAGAATTCATACCCACGAAAAGACTTCTCTGAATTCACCTCCAAATCAGGAATCATGTGCAAAGCAACACTCACACACTTCAGCTGTTTATGCACAGCCCTCGTAGTTCACTCATGCGCCCTTGGTTTTCCACTCGGTCGTATGGTTTGCGGTCCGCCCAACCTAATCAAGAAAGATATATATGCCTATTCACACTGCGATGATTGTGTGGAAGGCGCCCCTCTAAGAGAGGAGAAACGAGTCAGACTAGAAAAGAAGGCAAGTGAGAGATGGATGGAGGTTGTGGAAGATGTGATCGGTGATGGTGATGAGCATGGTGAGGGAGTGGAAGAAATCAGATCGGAATGTGCGGATGAGAGAGTTGGGGATGAAGGAGAAGGCGGGGTTTACGATGAGGGTAAGGATCGTGAGAGAAGTTTGGAGAAGGATTGGGAAATTTTGATGTATAGACAGAAACCAAGGAAGGACACCAGGAAGAAAACGAAGACGAAGAGGCGTGGTTAGCTGCTCAAGAAGCAATTCAATCTGAGCTCGAAAACTCCGAAGACACCTCCGATGAAGATGATGATTTGGCTGCTGCTGCACAATTACTTTCAGCGCTTAGACAGGAACTCGGGAAGGGTGATATAGTTTCGCAGGACGCAGATATTGATGAGAGTGAGGAGGGCAAGGAAGAGGGAGATGAAAAGGAATATAAGGGGCATGTGCAGACAATCATGGAAAACTTGAGTAGGCTGAGAGATAGGAGTGAAAGAGTGGAGGTTGATTCTATGGTTGCGGAGCAGGAAGATTGGGGAATTTAGGGAGGATAATTGGAAAGTTGGATTTTTAGTGCGCGGCATCGATTTGTTTGTCGTTTCTACATTGAACTATGCTTCATGTAGCTAGGTTCATGAATTTTTCATGGAACAATTTCTGAGACAGATTGATAGGATGTGTTGAAATGAATCGATGGGGCTTTCTTTGATGGTTTCTTTCACCGTGTTCTAGTTGATGGTATCTTAATCGATCAACATATTTCTTTGTACGTTTCTGCAACGGATTTTCCGACTGTTGAACAACAGTTTTTGAAAATAAACATTCCTAGTGACAAAAGCTGAATAGCGGGAAAATGTTTGAAGTTCCAGCCAATTCAATGCCTACAGGCGCTATCGCAAAGCACTGTGAACAGAGAAAAGGAAGGATTGTGCTTTTTGAGAGAAAGTACGAGATGCATATGATAAGGAGGCAAAGTGGACAATGGATGGCTCTTTTGCATTGGAAGCGAAATTTTGTAATCTTCAAGTGAGGAAATGGACCAAACACGTTGAAAATATGATGTGAAAGACTAATTATCATAACTGTGATTGCATAATCCTTTTCTCGGCGTTGCTGTTGAATCCTTCAATCCGATTATGTCTACTTAACACTTTAGCGCTTGTATATCGAATTCAAGCCTTCTCCGAGTTTTTGTGCTTCTAGACCTTTTCTCTTATCATTTTACTGTCTATATTCGGTGAGAGATTGTCATTCATCTCTAGCCTTCCCAGTATGAAAAGTCTTATATGCCATTCTGGCTCACAAATTCTCCTTTTCTTGCTCGGACTCTTCCTTCTTTTTGGCTTCGTTATCTTCAGTATCATTCTTTTCCTCGATTTCATCTTCTTGATTAGACACTTCTTGCTGTTTGGTCTCCTTCTCTGCTTTTTCTTTTTCAACATCTTTATCTTGCTCATTGTGATTCTCCTGCCCTTGTTCCACGTCTTTCTGTTCTTGTTCAATCCTGTCCTGCTCAACCCTCTCCTGCTCGATCCTCTCTTCTTCAATCCGTTTCTCTTCCTTTTCTTGCTCTATCCTTCTCTCTTCTTCAATCTCTTTCTCTTTCTCAGAACCTTTCTCTGCCTCGCCGCCGAATTTATTCTTCCACGTCCCTGCATAATGATGATTCACGAAAACCTTTCCTTTTCTTTCTTGAATCCATTTTGCGTCCCCGCGAATGCATTTCCCGGTAAAATCAACACATCATGAATCAATCTCGCACTTCTCAATTCTCCAACATCCCTATCATCAAGATCCCTTCCCAAGATTTCTTTGAGACTTTTGATAATTCCCCACGTCATTCTTTTTGGTCCCGTTATATCCACCACATCACTAATCATGCTCAGCTCTATTCCTTCAATTGATACCTCGTTTCGACGTGCGATTTCATTCAATTCGTCCAAAATATCATTGATGACCTGTATTAAATAGTTAGAGACTTAATTAGTCATGGATTATCTACTACTGACCTGCATTAGATGTGGAGATCTAGGCTTTGCCATGATAGTCCAACTCGCAAATTGCGAATACATGGCAGTATCTTCCTGATAGTCATAATCGAACTCCAAACCAACGACAAGCTTTGCGGCTCGATGTTCCTCCAAGACCCAATCATCCATGGGAATATCCTCACACGAAACATCTAAATCAAACCATACTCCCCCATAAGCATATAGTATTAAATAACGCAGTAAATCGGCTTTCAAGATCGGTATGCTGAGCGAAAAGTAGGTATGTAGTATATCTGGCCGGTGGGAAAACCATTTCCATACGTACTCATCCGCGAACGCATCAGTGAGCACTTCATATTCATAGCCGGGATTGATATCCAGACAGTGATATCGGAATCGTTTAGCCTCGTCCGAAACACCTTGAGGTCCTACTTTATACCATAGCTTTTTGGGGAATTCTGGAGCTTCTGATGAATGTGTCGCAAGGGGCGCTGAGATGACTACGCTGGAGTTGGAGGACTTTGTAGAGATTGGTAGTTTTTGTTTATTGGAAATTTCTTCATGCTGAATTGCTACTATGATGAGAAGGAAGATAACGACAGTGGATAAGAGTAATGTTTGGTATTGGCAGGAGGTTTGTCGATACATAATGTAGGATTGAGTGGGAAATGTGGATGTTACTTCGATTGTCCCCATGCAAATCTCGCCTCATAACAGCGTTTCGAATATCAAATACGATGTTTGTGACGACTAATCGAATTATTTTTCAAGTTCTCCTTCATAACGCATTGAATGCCATCCTCGGCATTATATTGATGGTTGGTTTGAGTGTCGCGTTTTGATCTCATTCCTGTTCTTCCTATCTCCACATTCTTCATACAAATATTCCATTCCACAATCAAACCCCCGTAACTCGAGAATCTCTATAATCCGTATCTGGTATTCATTTCTTTTTTCAGCTGCAGTGATAACTGATAGTTCAAATACCGGGCAATCCCAAATCTCACTTGAAAGATAGCAATACGTTTCTCTTCGAAATGACCAAGAGCGATGATCCAGGGCCTCTTTTCCAAAGCCAATTGATCAATATTACGGATATCTTAGTGATATATTTAAAACTCGCTTCTTCAGCTAAAGAATGAGTTTAAGCCCCCTTGATTAGTAGACTGTAGGTCTTGGCTGGGTGATTACGCCAGCCTAAATGAGCATTAGTTTCACATGACTACTAAAACACGAAATGCGAAGCGAGAGAAGCATGATTTATTGACACAGACTCATCAGATAAGATCTTTTGAAGTTAGTTATTGTTCATTTAGTAATTGATGCGTTGATGCGATCATCATGACTGAAGTATCATCTTTGAGTGCGCAGGAGAGATGAGACCAGCTCAGTTTCTGGGCCGTTCCAGACATTGCGATTGAGCCTTTCGAATATATTAACGACTGGGAGGCGCCTCATGATTATCATTGATATAATTCACATGTGAAAAATGGGTAAATTTCTATATTATCTTTGGCTTAGTTCCACATATGATGGCAATCGATTTCTGAGCTCTTGCTGAATAGAGAAAATGAGTAGACTTTCATAAATTACTCATCTTGTTACTCACCTGGTTACTCACCTGGTTACTCACCTGGTTTATCTCCTTAAATTCTTCTTCCTTTTGTAAACTTTCAATTTCGTTCTTATCAAAAAAAACTCAAACTTTGCTCTAAAGAATGATAACGCAACAACTTCTACTACCCACAAGTCTTTGATCCCTCGCGACTAGAATTATCTCCTAGAACCATCTTATCTCTCTATCTCGCTGGCTAGACCCATTATCTGGAAAAAGATTGACACTTATTCAAAGTCCATACAACCACGTCTCAACCACGTCTCGATTTTTCATGGGGAACCCAATGAATACTCTTTCGATGGTAAGACATAAAGGAAATGAAGACATTACAGACGGAAAATTGGAAGGTCATCTTGGAAATTCTTAGATAGAACCTTCGAGCGACTCGATCTCGCAAGGCTACTGCGACAGTACAATGAAAGTGCAAACAGAAAATGGCTGTGTGCTGCTAGAAGCATACGCTGATACATTCAAGCGCGAGCAGACTTTCGCTACCAAAGCAACAATTGCGAGGATACGAGCTGAATTCGACGAGTGTTACAGTTCCATGCCAAGAGAAATAGCCATCGAAGAGGTACTTCAGGCTATAAAAAACTCCCAAGATGATTGGAACCATAATACTTGGGCCGGTAACTTCATCACTGCTTTCGATGATATGGAAAATCAGCTTGAGGAGATACAGAAAGCTCGAAGACAGTGTTTTGGTTGTGATATTTCATCGAATTGGGATTGTGATATTGATGTACAGCTGGGAAATACCAATTGAAAACAAATCGATTGGAGTGTGAATGACCCTGGCATGATTAGATACCAGTCGCTGACGATATGGGATGAGAACGGCGAGGCGAGGATGCTAGGCTAGCGAAGCTATTATACATGCGAGACTTTAACACAATAAACCTCAAATCAAACAATGCGATCATATCTCCAATTCTACCATCCATCACTTCATTCTTCTTTATGAAAGAGTTCTCGGTTACATCAAAGCAGTATTCTGGGGAGAGTGAGTTCAGTGAAGTTAGCTAGACACTGAGGCACGGCAAAACAGCAGGTTGCTTGTGTGAGACCACACCGTTGCCATTTTAATGCTTCAATCCTTGCATCTCTTCTAGAAATTACACTAGGTACAAGCAAATATGTCAGTCCACATCCTCATTTCATGTAGTCCCACATCTTCACTCAACCTTCCAGACGGAAACACCATAATTTCCATCCTGAACAATACAAGAATTTCTTCATCCCCTTCCATATATTCAGACACCGTTATTTCAATACACCACTTCTTTGCACGCGATCACATCAGAACTCCTTCCTCCATCCAGGGAATAGACGACGCCCCACATTTCCGACAATCATGCAACTTTTAGGAGAAATTAGACGAGAACTCAACATCTCACTTTTGATTGCTCAGTGCTAGATGCATGAACCATTCTCTTCTCTTCTATTGGTCTTTCTCTTACAACAGTTGATCATGCCTTTTTCTCTTTCACATTCACTCGCCTTTATTAGTGTGGAATTAAAGCTCTGGAGCACAGTTTTTAAGCCAATGAACTTTTAGCATTTCAGAGCTGTGCGAGCATTGTACCGGGGTCTCCTGTATTTAAGGAGTTCTTCGGTTTATGAAGATTTTAAAAATTACATCACCAAGTTCATCATAAAAATTGACGTCAGCGTCAATATATTCAGCCTCGCCGCGCGAGTTTGTTTGTGTTACTAAAAAAACAAGGTAAGTAACTGCTGTCGCAATATCTTCCTTGCTAAGTTGCGTACTCTAGACCTTCAATCTATCGTCCAAGGCAACTACAAATATCTTCACAACAGCAAGCAGTCATGACGCCAGAACTTTCCCTCGTGGAAGCGCAGCCAGCGCATGCAAATACTCCCTCTGTCATCGACCTCCTAACTCAACTGTCCACGCCTCAGCCACCCAAAAACAACTCCACAGCGACCTCCAATATTCCATCCATCCTCAACCAACTATCCAGCTTCTCCTCTGTCAACAAGATAATACCCAATAACAGCTGTCCCTTCATATCACGCCTTTCCACCGACGTCCGCACACAAATATACTCCTATCTCCTCCTCAACCCCATACTTTCTAAAGCAGAATGCATCAGTCCCGAAACCGATTTCGGCATGAACCAAAAGTACGAGCTCGAGCCTTCAATTCTCAGAACATGCAAAGAAGTCTATGGAGAAGCATCTACCGTTCTCTACGGCCTCAATACATTTTATCTCGTCGCTATGAAAAGCACCCGCATGTTCCGTTTCACGCTTGCAGATTTCATTAGCGGAAGCGCGCTTACGAGATATTGGAGAGAAAATGCTGATATCTTCAAGGCTGCGCCTGAGTCTACTTTATATCTGTGTAAAGTACGTCAATGGCGAGTCGAAGTAAGCTGGTATGGATCTCCTGGCCAAAGCGCTATATCTCTTCCTGTAGTCTCTATGAAAACATACGAGGAATACAAGTTCACGAGATCGTTACCAATAGATCCAAGAACGGGTTTGCCGCCTGTTTCTGGACGAAGGAGAACTCGAAATCAATATTTGCTGAGACTTGGAACGCAAGAGGCGACGAGCTCGACGATGGAAAATACACTTTCGTTCTTGAGACCGTTGCTCGAATATAGTTTGGTGCCTTTTTGTCATTTGGTTGCACTTTGTGAGGTACCGCCGCATACTCTGGTGATTATTATTAGAGCAAAGAAGGAGGGGGAAGCTCCCATACGATCCGAATATCTGGGTGTAGTGCCTACAGAAGCTGAGAAATTGAGACTGGTAAGACCATTGGAGATGCTACGAGGAGTGGGTAGCTTGGTGTTTACATATGGCGAGAAGAGCAGTGAGAACGACGTACCGTCTGGCAAAAATTCCACCGAAGACACTACACCAGCCAACGAAGACGCCAATCCATATACAAGTCAAAACAATACGCCATCCAAGATCTCAACCTACCAACTTTTCCAACATTCAGGAATCATTCACCTGGTCACCTCCAAAGCAAAAACCATCGCAGTTGAATCCCCCGCCAACATATACAACAACCTTCTTTCCTACGCCCAAGCCTTCGAACGCTACGAATTCTTCAAGCAACACATGGCAACCAACTGGCTCTATCAAAATGCCCACAGGGAAACCCCCAATCCCTACAAAACCAATACTCCAAACCCCATCCAAGTCTCAAATCCATTTGGTCCTCAAGACACCTACAGATCTCACCCCGTTAACCGCCATCTTTCCATCGCCGCAGCCGCAGTGAGAAGACACGATATCGTTGCCCTAAGAAATAACCGCAAAGCCGTGATTGAGTACCTCGAGCCACAATATACACGTATCCTCGCTCAAGTCAAGAAATTTCGAGAATACACCGAGAAACAAAATAAAAAATTCGGGATCTGGAAGGGAGTTTCGATACTCGAGGAGAAAATACTTGAACGAGCGAGAGGCGACAGTGCGCCAAATCGGTCATCAAAGTCCCACCCCGAAAAAAGAACGAAGAGTATCGATTTCTCAGAAGCACTAGTGGTACTTGAAGAATACGCCGAGTCTTTCACCCGCGATATTCCGCTCGAAACACGTCGTCAAATTGCGCTCATTCGTTATGAATATTACGGTCATTACGAAGTCATGGAACGCGAAGTGGCGATTCGGAAACTGCAGGAAATGGTAGTTGAGATGCCGCAACCATTTGAAGAAGCGGCTGTGGAATTCAGGAAATTGTATGTGCTCGCTGCGAACGATATGCAGAGACAGTTTTTGGAGATTAGGAGAGCGAGAAGACGGTTGATTGAGGATGATAATGGGAGGGGTAAGAGGGAATTCCCGATTGATTTTTCGATGGGGATGGAGGATGGGGAAATTGATTGGTGTGTGTGGGATGATGGACTTGTGGTTCCGGAGAGTATTTTTAAGAATAAGAGGCATCAGGCTACTTGGTACTAGTATATTAGTAGTTATGTAGGTGAGTTTATAACGCGTATGTGACTTTTGCGCTCAGCGAGTGCTCTTTGACGATGACCGAATAGAG